AACACTCCGCCCCTCCCCCGCCCCCGCCGATCTTCCTTGCTCCCGGTCCCCCTCCCGCCCCAGGGTCCTGCTCCCTCAGGTGTGTCTCAGGTAGACCCTCTCCCTTGTACTGCGCCTGCTCAAGTAGCTGTCGTCCCAGGTGCTGCTCGAGGTACTGCGTCTGGGGGTGCGGAGCCTGGGGGTGCGGAGTCTGAGGGTGCTGAAACAGGGGGTGCTGAGCCTGGGGGTGTTGCGACTGGGGGTGCTGAGCCTGGGGGTGTTGCAACTGGGGGTGGTGAGCCTGAGGGTGCTGAGCCTGAGGGTGTTGAGCCTGGGGGTGCTGAGTCGGAGGGTGCGGAGTCTGGAGTTGCGGAGCCTCAGGGTGCTGCTTTGTCTGGAGGTTCTGCTAGTGCTTCGTCGAGACTGTCTCCGCAGCAGTTGAGTGAGTGGTTTGTTCGGCGTACGCGCCTTCGGAGTGGAGCTTCTGGAGCTAGAGGTGCTGGCGCTGCTGTTACTGGAGGTACTATGACCGCTGGTCCTGGAGGTGCTCGTACCCGGGGTACTGGAGCTGCCAGGACTGGTGGTGTTGAGGGTGCTGGAGCTGGAGACCTTACGGAGTCTGGTACTACTGGCGCTGGTGGCGCTGGAGCTGGAGGAGCTGGAGTTGGTGGCCCTGGTGTTGGAGGCACTGGAGCTGGAGGAGCTGGAGCTGTTGACCCTGGTGGCGCTGTGCGGCTGCGATCGTACTTCGTTCCCTTGCTCCAGCAGGTTCTTGGTACCCCGCCTTCTGCTGACCTTACTCCTCCCCTCCTGTGTCCCCTGCCTGACCGGTCGCAGCCGCCGTTACAGCCGGCCTCTCCACTGCCTGCTGCTTCTCCTTACACTGAGCAGTCAGGCGGTCTTACAGAGCGTCGTGAGCCTGCGTCTCATCTTGTCTCGCCTGTTCGCACTGCTCGTCTCGTTCCTCGTTCGCGTCCTCCTCCTGTCCCTGGCACGCACGCTATGACCCTTCGTCCTTCCTCTATTCCTCTACGCGTTCTTCTGCCAGCTCCTCCTGAGTCCTCTCTTCATGAGGTCCCTGACCCTGAGTCTGACCACGCTCGTACTGCCAGTCCCACTGTCTCTCGTCTCCTTGCTACTGCTGTCAGTGACCCTTCTTTTGAGTCTGCTGCTGCGTCTGCTCTCGTTGCTGAGCTGCTTGACTTTGCTGCTGCCTGTCGTCTAGACTACGCCACTAGTCTTGTAGCTGAGTCCGCGTCTGCCAGTCCTCCGTCCGTCGGGGGTGAGTGTGCTCTTGGCACGGACGTCCTTGAGGACAGGCAGGAGGAATTTGAGTGTCTTGCGGCTACTGTACCTCGTTTTGAGTGTCTTCTACGGTCTCCGCCAGGCGCCTTGCGAGTGGCTCGATACACTGAGGACTACACTTGCGGCTCTTGGGTTTGCTCCTGCTACTGCTGACCCGTCGCTGTTTCTACGCACCGACACCTCGCTGCCGCCGTTCTACGTCCTTGTCTACGTCGACGACCTCGTCTTTGCCACTGCTGACACTGAGGCACTGACTTTTGTGAAGTCGGAGCTGCAGAAGAGACACACCTGCACTGACGTGGGTGAACTGCGCAGCTATCTTGGCTTGCATATCACCCGGGACAGAGCTCGGCGCACCATTACCCTGACGTAGTCACAAATGGTGCACCAGGTCCTTCAGCGCTTCGGCTTCTAGTTCTCCTCGCCACAGCCCACTCCTCTGTCTACCAGCCAATCGCTCTCAGCTCCACCTTCAGACGAGTCCGTAGAGCCGAGTGGTCCGTACCCAGAGCTTGTGGGTTGCCTCATGTACCTGATGACGTGCACTCGACCCGACCTCGCGTACCCTCTCAGCCTCCTGGCTCGCTACGTGGCTCCCGGCAGGCACCGAAAGGTGCACTGGGATGCTGCGAAGAGGGTACTGCGTTACTTGTGCAGTACGTCGGGCATAGGGCTCGTGCTTGGAGGACGGGGTCCAGTTGTCCTCACCGGTCACACAGACGCCTCCTGGGTTGACGATTCAGCTACGCAGCGGTCGTCATAGGGTTACACCTTCAGCCTTGGTTCCGGATCTGTTTCTTGGCGGTCTACCCGCTCGTCTTCGGTTCTCAGCTCCAGTTGTGAGGCTGAGATCTACGCCGGGGCCATGGCTGCTCAGGAGCTACGCTGGCTCACCTACCTGCTGACCGACTTGGGAGAGCAGCCTCGTTCGCCTCCAATTCTGTACGTAGACAACAAGGCCATGATTGCCTTGTGTCAGGAGCACAGACTGGAGCACAGAACGAAGCACATCGCTCTGTGATACTTCCTTGCTCAAGATTTGCAGCAGCGTGGCCAGCTTTGTCTTGCTTACGTGGCCACTTGGGCCAACACTGCTGATGTCTTCACCAAGGCACTTCCGCCTGGTAATCATCAGCGCTTTGTTACTGTGTTAGGCCTTGTGCCTACTTTGCCTCACTTGCTTACTGCTTGACTCTGTTTGTACTGTGATCTATATATATACTTGCATGCCTGCACTTGCTAGGGTATGATCACTGTATTGTTTGTTCTCTTTATATGACTCTGCATGTGAACTGGCCTTGTGGCCCTTTGCTTGTGCTCGGACTGTGTGGTGACTTTGTGATCCACCCTGAGCTTGCTTTGCTTTTCTTGACTGGTCTTGTGACCACTTGTTCTCCCCCACTTTGCCTATGGGGGTGTGTCAGAACATTATAGCTTATACATTTGTGTAGGCTGTAGTGGGGTAGCCCATAAGGGGTACAACCCAATTAGGGTTAGTATTTGTACCCAACTGATTGCGCGTTCATTCATTCTCGTTCTTTATTTTCACAAGATGTAGCGGTCGATGCGCTCAGCCTCGTGCATGTATCCCACCTGCTCGTATAGCACTTGAAACCCGCTGGTGTAGTCTTGGACGGAATAGAGTGCAGACCTTCTGTCGCGCAGCGATCGACGCTGCGATTGGCTCGAATCTTGCGCGCAAATCTGCGCACCACGCATCTCACGTGCATTATGTTGGGTTGAGAAAAGCCCTTAGGATCTTTCAAGGCTAAGATCGGGGTGAAGTAGGAATGTTGTCATTGCGGAAGCGTTTTTAATATCAGAGTTGCTGAACCACCTTGTACTAGTGTGTGAGAACAAGATAAGTTGATAATAGCAAAGAGATACAAGCTTTTTATATGATTACAAAGGAATATAAAAGTTTTACTTTAACTGTTTTTGCTGTTACGGTTCGATACAGTGCCGACACGGATAACTGCTCAATATCGAGTCAGCTATGTGTCCTTGCTGTCACACTGCATTTTTCGTCGAGCCAAAGGTCAGTGACATTTGACCTTCACGTAACCTCCAGTAGTTGCTTTTGTTGACTGGTGTTGCTTCACTGCAGTCTGCTTCGTTTTGTGTCGATACTTCGATACTTCAGAAGCGTTTAAGTTACTTGTTTTCAACACATTACTGGGCTCACCATGCATCTCACGTGCATCTCATGCCCATGGTCCGGTTGGTCCTTCTCGTTGCAGTAGAGCCTCGTAGTCGGTCAACTTCATGACGATTACGCGCTACCAGTCCATGGCGGGTCCTTGCAGTAACTATGCGTCGTATCGAATCTTCGCCGCGTTCGACGAGACGTAATTGGCATCGAAGAACACGTTCATCGTGAATAGCCACGCCTGAACCGTCGGACCACCCCGTTGACTCGGATTGAAGCACGGCGGACGCTACGGCTTGAGCGGCATCGGTGAAGGCAGTGGCGACTCATCGGTTTGCGTCGAAATGTTGACGCGTGGTTGACTTGCAGCAGCGTTCATTGCTCCGGGTGTCTCGTCCCATGGTCGTCGCGAACATTGTTGTGCGCGACGCAGGGCTGACTTTTCAAATTTAGGTACCCTGATTTCAACCTAAAAAAAAAAAATTTACCTTGAAGGCACATTTTCCAGAAAAACAGCACCCTGATTGCTCAGGGTTGAGAAGTAGTGAACTCTGAATGTTCAGGGTCGAGAATTGAAAATCAGGGTCGTAGTAACGCGCTCTTTTTTTACCGAGGACAGAAGTGACTGGCACTGTGGCGATGTGACTGACACTGTGGCGATGTGACTGGCGCTGTGTTAGAGCACATCTATTTCGACCAATAACAGCAACCTAAAATCTGACATTACAGATTCGCCCGATCTAGATGGTGGGTGTATGGGAACGAAACTTCGAAGAAACTTCGTCTCGATAAGCGAGGGGGGGGGGGGGGGGGGGGGAGGATTACGCACGTGGGGGGCACTGAAATCAATGCGAAGGGGTTATCAGGAGGAAATTTCCGAGAAACTTCGCCTCGATAACATCGCATTCAGGGTCCACAGGCCTCGTACTCTGTATTGACAGGGTCCGTGAAAACCCTACACTGAGAGTGTACACAAAATTTCAGGGTCCGCTAAAGCAATACTCTGAATGGATCAGGGACCAAAATGTGAAAAACCTGATTTCTCAGGGTCCAGAAAGTGACAAGTCTGAAATCACCCTGAAATCAGGGTAATTACCCTGATAAAATCAGCCCCGGCGCGACGCCATCATTAGCCCGAACCTCGATGCCAGCGTTGCACTAGCTAGCTCGCATGGCGTCTAGTGATGGTACATACATATTTATATCACAGTACCCTTCTGCATAAGAATCGAGGGCGACTCTCTTTCCACTAGGTATAAATAGATTGTTAATATAACGATGTGCATATTGTTCTAATATTAAATTCTGGCACACAGTAACCAAGTATACGCGCCTTATGTGGGGTGGTCGGGCACACTGTAATGAGTAAAAGTCTACTGGCTTTATAGCAGATATCGACGTAATCCGCGGGGTTTAGGAACATCCCAAGCGCATTCGTCACTGCAAGCACTGTTGAACAAAAAAATATACGCTCGACGAAACCTACTCGTGAGTGTGGTTCGGGTGACTGCCGCCTCCTCGCCTGCCCTCGCACCGCGCGGGGGCTCAAGCCGCCTCCTCCCCTGCCATGATCGCGCCTCCCCTAGTCGTTCCCCGCCTAATCGCGCCTCCCCTCGTCGTTCCCCGCGTTGTCGCGCCTCCCCTCCACTCGTCGCGCCTCTACCACTCTCATCGCGCCTCCCCTGCTGTGTCGCGCCTACCCTCCCCTCGTCGCGCCTCCCCTCCCCTTGTCACGACTCCACCCTTCTCTGATCGCTCCTCCCCTCTCCAGGTCGCTCCTCCCCTGGCCGCCCTCTCCTCTTCGCGGCTCTTATCGTAGCGCCTTTCCTCGCCGCGCCTCTCCGCCCCTTCCATTCCCTGCCCCAACCCATCCCTCCGTTCAACTCGATTCTCTTCTCTTCCCATGCATACTCGTCCACCCCAACCCAATCCTTTACTTCCCTGGATCCGGTGAGGCCGCGGGGGAAGGAGAGGTGAGGCCTCACCTCTCCTTCCCTCGTGGCCTCACATCTCTTTCCCTCGCGGCCTCACATCTCTTTCCCTCGTGGCCTCACATCTCTTTCCCTCGCGACCTCATCTCTCCTTCCCTCGCGGCCTCACCTTTCCCTCCCTTGCGGCCTCACCTCTCCTTCCCTTCCCCCTGTTCCTGCCTCTTCCCGCCCCTTCCCGCCCCTTGCCGTCCCTTGCCGCCCCTTCCCGCCCCTTGCCGCCCCTTGCCGCCCCTTCCCGCCCCTTGCCGCCCCTTGCCGCTCTTGCCGTCCCTTTCCGCCCCTTCCCGCCTCTTCTCTATTCCCCTACCTTCCCTGCACATTCGTTCCCTTACCCGCCCCTCTCCCACCTTTCCCTACATCCAGCTCCTTTCCCTCTGCTGCAAAAGCCTCCTATTCCCTTTCCGTTTGCGCTCCTCCCTTCCCTATTCTCCCTGCCCTTCCCATCCCTTCCATCCCCTCTTCGTTCCTTCCCGTTCCATGCCTCCAATGCCTAAATCAACCACAACTATTTCCCACATATCCCCCGCCCCTCCCCCTATCTATCTTCACGTTTCCCCCTCACTCCTCGTCCCTCCCTCTCCTTCTCCTTCTCCTTCTCCTTCTCCTTCCAGTGGCCTTCAAGTGTGGGTGGTTGTGGCAGAGCCAGTGGTGCTAGAGTGGGCCAGAGGGGCGAAACTATCAGCACACCTGCAGCCATTTTCAGCAACTCTTACTGAAGGTTAGTGTGTGTGTGTGCACTGCACCCCTGCATTCACCTCCCACCATTCTTTTCGTTCCCTCACCTGCCTTCACACCTCCGCTCCGTGCGCTTCCCCGTTCCTTCCTTTTGTTCCCTTCCCTTCCATTCACTTCCCATCCCTTCCCTTCCCTTCCCTTCCCTCTCCTTCTTCAATCACCTCTTCGTTGGATTTCGCGTACACGTTTTACACATGTTGGCGCTCGTTGGACGGTCCGTACTGTACTCGCACCGGACGGTGGTGAAAATGCTGCTGTCACATATATGATGTATGGGCATGTTGGATTCTCTTTTCATGATTTACATTACAGTGAACGGTGGAGTTGAGGAGTACACAGCCATTCTTCCTACCTCGTGCTTTCAAAAGCTCATGGAGGTGATCAGCGAGAAAGAAGCCATGCGGCAGTGGTCGCGCAAGCAGCACTGCCAGGGGCGCACAGTGGCACTGGTGCCCACCATGGGGTATCTACACGACGGCCACCTCTCTCTCGTGCGCCTGGCGGCCACACTGGCAGACGTGGTGGCTGTATCCATCTACATCAACCCCTCGCAGTTCGCCCCACACGAAGACCTCCTTTCTTACCCACGCGACCTCGCCCGTGATCTCGCTCTTCTCAAGGTACACCCCTCCTCGAGGTACGAGGTACGCCTCCTGAACCCCATCCTATCATGCTCCCTTGTTCGTTCAATAGCATAGCTCATCTCCTGCTCTCCCTGCTCATCTCCTGCCCTCCCTGCTCATCTCCTGCCCTCCCTGCTCATCTCCTGCTCATCTCCGCAATTTTACGTTCCTCAAGTTACGCCCTCCAAACCCCATGCTCCCGCCTCTTTCCTTCCACCCCCATCCGGTGCAACTGGATGCGTTCTGGTGGAGCCATAGGCAGCCAGTTCCCATCCTTGCCCATGCTCTCGTGTTCGTTCAACCCTGACACCAGCCCAGGGAATACCATCTTGTTCTCACTCCTGTTCACTCCTGTGCTGGTGGAGCTCATCTCCTGTCCTCACTCCTCACCCCCTTGTTGTGCACCTAACTCTTCCCTTTCAACTGCCGCCCTCAGGATCTCCCGGTGGCACCAGTGTTTACCCCTGCGGACCTCTACCTGCGCCCTCTCTACGCGCCACCCATTTCAACCACCCTGCACCTAACTCTGCTCTTTCACCTGCCGCCCTTCAGGACCTGCCAGTGGCAGCAGTGTTTGCCCCAGCGGACCTGTACCTGCGCCCTCTCTACGCACCACCCGACCAGCGCCACGCCGTCGCGGAGCCCCCTGCAGCAGCGCCCGCCCCTGGCGGCGCTGCAGAGAGCGCAGCAGCAGCGAGCGCAGCGGCGCCAGCAGGGCACGAGACGTGGGTGACGGTGGAGCGGCTGCAGCGGCCGCTGTGTGGGGGCGGGCGGCCGGTGTTCTTCCGCGGTGTGGCGACAGTGGTGGTGAAGCTGCTTCACATTGTGGAGCCGGATGTGGCCGTGTTCGGCAAGAAGGACTACCAGCAGTGGCGCCTCATTCAGCGCATGGTGAGTGGAACAGGGGGGCGTGGCGGCATGGCACGGAACAGAGCAAGTGGTGAAGTAGAGGAGTGCATACTGTCACGTGTATTGGCGTCATCTCCACCCGTCCCCACATTCCCATGCATCACTGCTGCTGCTGTCCCATGTGCCCTCCAACCACCCTCTCAACCCCATGTGTGCTGTGAAGGTCCACGGGCGCGACCTTAACATGGCATTATTCCATCCACACCCCTCCCCATCATGCCCCTCTTACCCCCCCTGGACTCGCAACTCACTTCCCAACCCGCCCTGCCCTGACTGCTGTGCTGCGCTGGTCCCCCATGACTCCCCCAGGTGCTCGATCTGGACATGGCGGTGCAGGTGGTGGGCGCGCCCCTTTGAATTCGACTCAAAAATTACCTCCTAATCTTCCCCTCCCATGTCCGCTGTGCTGTGGCGTTCTTGTTCCCCAGGTGCGTGATCTGGACATGGCGGTGCAGGTGGTGGGCGCGCCGCTTGTGAGTCGACTTAAGCGTCACCTCCCAACCCCCCCCTTGCCCTAATTTCTGTGCTGCTCTGCCCCCCAGGTGCGTGATCTGGACATGGCGGTGCAGGTGGTGGGCGCGCCCCTTTGAATTCGACTCAAAAATTACCTCCTAATCTTCCCCTCCCATGTCCGCTGTGCTGTGGCGTTCTTGTTCCCCAGGTGCGCGATCTGGACATGGCGGTGCAGGTGGTGGGCGCGCCGCTTGTGAGTCGACTTAAGCATCACCTCCCCCCCCCTGCCCTAATTTCTGTGCTTCTCTGCCCCCCAGGTGCGTGATCTGGACATGGCGGTGCAGGTGGTGGGCGCGCCCCTTTGAATTCGACTCAAAAATTACCTCCTAATCTTCCCCTCCCATGTCCGCTGTGCTGTGGCGTTCTTGTTCCCCAGGTGCGCGATCTGAACATGGCGGTGCAGGTGGTGGGCGCGCCGCTTGTGAGTCGACTTGAGCGTCACCTCCCAACCCCCCCCTGCCCTAATTTCTGTGCTGCTCTGCCCCCCAGGTGCGTGATCTGGACATGGCAGTGGAGGTGGTGGGCGCGCCGCTGCTGCGTGAGGCGGATGGACTGGCCATGAGCAGCCGCAACGTGCGCCTCACCCCCGAGCACAGGCAGCAGGTGAGGCACTTCCTGCCATCAAGGTGTTTCACACACAGTTGATGCCATGTATTGAAACCATGGCACCTACATGGTGTTCGACTGGCACACACCTACATAATGCTACAGTCCACATAATGCTACAGTCCACATAATGCTACAGTCCACATAATGCAACAGTCCACATAATGCTACAGTCCACATAATGCTACGGTCCACATAATGCTACAGTCCACATAATGCTACGGTCCACATAATGCTACGGTCCACATAATGCTACAGTCCACATAATGCTAGGGTCCACATAATGCTACAGTCCACATAATGCTACGGTCCACATTATGCTACAGTCCACTTCATGAAACCATATCAAAGTATGTGACACACCCTCTTACCCCCTTCCTTCGTCAGCCCCCTTCCTCCTCCACTATCCCCGTACTGCTGGATGGGCCGACTGCGTGCCTAACCCCGGCGCCCTGCCATGCTGCCTGTGTGGCGCTGCCATGCGGCGTGTCTGTACGACCCTATCCATGGCAGGCTCTCTCCATCAGCCGAGCGCTTCTGGCAGCCAAGGCAGCAGTGGAGGGTGCTCACAGCGGTGCGGGCGAGAGTGAGCGAGGCGAGGGGCACGCACAGGCGGCAGAGGCGAGCGCAGTAGTGGAGAGAGTGAGGCACACGGTTGAGGAAGCAGGAGGGCGAGTGGAGTATGTGCAGGTAGGCATGGGATTGAGATGGATGGTGACAGGGCTGTGTGGGTTTGGAGACGTCTCAAGAGGCAAATGGTTGAGGCAGAAGGGCGAGTGGAGTACGTGCAGGTCACATGGGATGGAGACAAAGCAGCATGGGATGGTGACGAAGCAGCATGGGATGGTGACGAAGCAGCATGGGATGGTGACGAAGCAGCATGGGATGGTGACGGAGCTGTGTTTGTTTTCTGGTAGCATCAGCTTCTTGCTGCCCTCCCAGCGCCCTCCACCATGCCACGATGTCACTGCACAGTTGCTACGTTACTCTCATCACAAAAGCTCCGCGTGCATGTGTGAACGTTCTTGGTGTAACTAATCTGTTGTGTGTGCATCTTATGGTGTGACAGTTGGTGGAGCAGGAGAGTCTGGAGCCTATCTCGCACATCACTCGCCCCGCTGTGCTTGCAGTGGCAGCCCATTTCGGATCAGTGCGTCTCATAGACAATGTGGAGATCGATGTTCATGCATAGTCGTCTGTATGCTTGTGTGTAAGACTGCCTACCTGAAATATTCAATACGGTAGATGGGTGATCCATAGGAAAAGTGTAAGTTAATATATTCAAGATTCACGGGATAAGTGTGGGGTTCGGGTTCGGGCCCTCATGTTGGCTTTAGGTAAAACATCAATCAGCGAGGGTCCGGAATACTTGGCTATGGCAGGCCCTCGTTTGAAGGATACAACACCCTAATTACCCTCGCTGGTTGCCGTGTTCTGCGGGGTAGCTCTAACTTTGCCAGGGTAGTAAAATTTCCACCCTATCAAAAAACAGGTTATTGAAATTCCACCATGGATAAGAAGTGATTGAATCTCATAGTACGGAATGAGTTGAGTAGCAAGAAAGATGGGTATAAATACACTGTGCGTTGTCCGACTACCTCCGTGCCTTCCGTCCTGTCGTCTCCCGTGTTCTGTCTGCGTTGGTCACTCAACCGCGTGACCCACAGTTGTCTGTCTCAGCCCTTGTTACCACTGTCGCTTGCTTTGCCTCTTCCCACCACCTTGACTACGCTGCTCACCTGGTAAGTGGCCCTGCTCGTTCTCTGTCCCCTGGGGATGCTCCTGTCTTTCCCCTGGACATCCTCGAGGACAGGCTGTTCGAGATTGGTGTCCTGGCGGCCGCTGTTCCTCATCTCTGTGCCATGCTGCTTGCCCTTGAGGGGGATACAGACGCCCTTCACATCCCGATCCCTCACACTCACGCCGAGGCGGTCTCGGGGCCCTGGGCTTCGTACTGGATAGCAGCTGAGGAGGCAGAGATTGCATCTTATAGGTCCACAGACACCTACGTCGACGCCGTCCCACCACCTGGGATGAACGTCGTTAGTGGCATGTGGCTCTACAAGGTGAAACGGCCACCTAGATCACCACCGGTGTTCAAGGCGCGCTAAGTGGCGAGAGGCTTCAGTCAGCGCGAGGGGGTAGACTTCTTCGGGTGTTGCTGCACATCGCAGCTCAGCGCGACTACGAGATACACTCCTTGGACTTCTCCACAGCGTTACTTCAAGGGAGCCTGCACGAGCAGGTTTGGCTCCATCGCCCGCCTGGCTTCGCTAGCTCTTTCCCTCCTGGAACCCATTTGCAGCTGCGTCGACCGGTCTACGGCCTGCGCAAGGCTCATCGTGAGTGGCACGACACACTTCGCACAACACTTGCAGCGCGGACTTCTTTCTGTCGTCTGCTGGCCCGTTGCTGTTCGTCCGCCGTAGCTCGACCCCGTTCATTGTTCTGGTTCATGTTGACGACCTGGTCTTCGCCACTCCTGACCAACGCGCACTGGCCTCCGTGAAGGAGAAACTGTAGAGGAGACACACTTGCACTGACCTTGGTGAGCTGCACCGACACCAGGTATGCTTTCCTGTTGTGTGAGGAGCCTTGACTGGTTGGGAAGGCGAAGCACATCCAGCTTCATTACTTCGTTTTGCGAGAGTTGTAGTAGCGTGGCCAGGCACTCGCGCGACGTAAGGTCTCTGAGGCCAACACTGTAGATATCTTCACCAAGGTGTTGCCGCCTCGTGACCACCAGCGTTTCTGCACCCAGCTAGGCCTTATGTCTATAGGCCCTCACGTGCTTGCGTAGAGATGCTTTGTCTTGTACTCTTGCAGCTCACTATATTTGCTATATATCTACTTGTGGACTGGCCTTGTGGACCCTTGTTTTTTTACAGATGCTTGCACTGCTTGTCTTGTACTCTTGCATCTTCTATATTTGCTATTTACTTGCATGTGGACTGGCCTTGCGGCCCCTTGCTTGTTCTCGGACTATGTGGTGATCTTGAGATCCACCCCGAGCTTTGTTGTGTTCTTGTGAACTGGTATTGTCACCCTTGCTGACTGGTCCTGTGACCCTTGCTGTGTGTTGTTTTCCACAGGACTACCGCCGCCTAGATTATGAGGTGGCGAGATATAGCAAACATAGCCCTTAGCAAACATTGCTGTGTGTGTCAAGCTATGTTTGCTATATCTCGCTTGTTTCTCATTTCCTTAGCCAGTTCTTACACGTTTCGTAACCTAACCCGAGCAACCTCCATGATCAAGCCAATGCGGCGCTCAACAATCTTATTTTGCTGTGGAGAGGCCGGAAGCATGAACGACTCATTGATGTTCTCCTCACAACAAAATTCCTCGAGGAGACCGGAGGAAACCTCTCCACCACTTTCAGAGTGCAGATGGAGCACCGGGAGGTCCTGACGGAACCGTGCGCTTAGCGGCGGCAAACAGTGCGGAGTTCCAAGGGATCAAAACAACACGGACGTCTCCTTTGTGCTGCTAGGGAAACACCGTGGTGTAGCGCGTCTTGTCGTTGACGACCAGCAGGAAGTAGCGCTCCCGGTGTTACAACGGTAAATATCGAATGAATTGACCAAGGAAAGAACAAACAAGCAAGATATAGGAAACCTAACCCTAACCCTAACAATGAGAAAGTACACCTAGACTACAAAATATAAGCTATAGCAAATATAGCTTGACACACCCCCATAGTCTAGGTGACAATAGTCCTGTGGAAAGTAACATATAGCAAGGGTCAGCGATTTGAGTCGGCGAACAAGACCGAGGGAGAGCGAGGCCGCTCACCAAGGTCGGTGAGGAGGAAAGACAGCAAGCGAAGCTTCTGGGCGGCCATGGCCACAACGTACACCTCTGCCTCACAGCTGGAGCTGGAGACTAACAATGCCTGAGTTGACCTCCACGAAACAGCTCCGGTCCCAAGACTGAAGCAGTAACCCTGTGTAGATCGCAGTGACACTGCGTCGTCGGCCCACGATGAGTCCGAGTAACCTGTAAGTGTAACTGGCTACTTCCCTCCAAGTACAAGTCCCATGCCTGATGTACTCGCCACATACTTCGCCACCCTCTTAGCCGCGTACCAGTGGAAAGTTCAATGTCTCCCAGGTGCAACAAAGCACGCAAGGAGGCTAAGAGGGTAAGCCAGATCTGGGCGAGTACAGGTCATCAGGTACATGAGACAACCCACCAACTCAAGATATGGACCGCTGGACTCAAATCGCTCGTCCAAAGGTGGAGTCGTGAGCCCATGATCCACATGAAGAGGGGTGAGCTGTACCTTGGAGAACGGGAAGCGGAACCGCGTGAGAATCTGCTCAACCATATGCGACTGCGTCAGCGTAATGGTGGGAGTTGCCCTGTCCCTGGTGATATGCAGGCCAAGGTAGCACTACAGCTTACCAAGGTCAGTGCAAGTGTGTCTCCTCTGCAATTCCTCCTTCACGGAGGGCAGTGCGCGTCTGTAAGCGCCACAGTGCTAGTGCCTCCGGCTTCACCACCCCCAGAACCAGCACCTCTACCACCGACACCCCCGGTGCCTCCAGTACCTCTTGTAGGAACACCCCCAGGCTCCGCAGCAACCGGCCGTAGAGAAGAACGAGGAGGGAACTGCGGGACGGACGGGAAGCCAGGGGGTGACGCAGGGTGAGTCTGGCGACTCAAGGCTGCCGTGTCCTCCACGGGAGTAACCTCCATGCCCACACCCCCTGCGCCCTCAGAGCCAACACCACCAGATCCAGCAACCCCAGTACCCTCACCCTCCGGAACTGCACCTCCCTCACCCCCAGACACGACAGGGACTGGACGCTTCGGGGGAGACGACTGCGGAGTGATGTGCGACACAACTGACGGGGCAGGACGTGAAGGGGGGGGGGGGGGGGGGAGGTACCGGGGCGACTTGGGGGGGGGCTCAAGGGTGAGGAACAGTGGGGGGGAAAGACCTGAGTACCTCGGTGGGGGCGACTCCTGTAGTAACAGACAGGCTCGTCGAACTACCAGCCGGAGGCGTCCAAAGGGAAGCCAAGAAAGACGCAGACACGAGTGCGCGTAGGCAATTTGTTCGTGCCAGGGGCGCGAACGTGAGCCAGAGAACCCCAGACGCGGAAGTCAGCTGCTACACCTGGAGAACCCGCCCAAAGGAAGACCGGCGTCACCCGTGGCCGTGCGTCACTAGGCCACAGGTTCAGCTGGTGCGTGACGTAGCAGACTGCCTAAGGCCACAGGAACTAGGGGGCACTGGCATGGCACATGGAGGTCCGGGCAACCTCCATGACGAGGCCGATACGTCGCTCGGCTACCCCGTTCTGCTACGGCGAGTTTGGTAGCGTGTAGGATTGGATGATCCCCCGACCCTGACAGAACGTCTCTAGGCGAGTGGAAGAAAACTCAACACTACGGTCCAAGTGAAGGCAGAGCCCATACAGGCCCTGGGCGCCACCCCTCGCTAGCAGCCACGGTCGAGGACGGTAGGCACGTCGGCCTTCTGACTCAAGGGAAAATCCGTGGTGTAGCGGGAATTGCTGTCCACCACAATCATGAAGTAGCGCTCCTAACGTGGGCCAAGGACCGGTGAGGGGCCCCAGACGTCCAAGTGCAGGGTCTGGAAGGGAGCCGTGGTGGGGGGGAACGAGGAGTGAGGGGCAGCGCGCTGCCGACCCTCGACGCAAGGAGTGCACGGCGGCGCAGGCGAGCGAGGAAGTGGGGCAAGCGACTCTGGGAGACCAAAGACCAAACGGTGACGTACCATCCTACTGAGACGTGAGAATGACGGGTGACATAGACGGTGGTGCCAGAGGACCGACGGGTGGGTGAGTGACCGATAGTCGCACGACACAGCAGCTACCTGACCTGACCTAACCTGACTTGAACTAGTGTATAGTGAGTACAGACCAGAGCCCATCTCCCTGTGGAAAATGGCCAGAGGGGCCCCAGTGGCACCAACTGTGCAGGAGGCAACAGGCTCGTCCAGTAGGAAAGTAGTGACTACACCTAGGTCGAAGAGGTGACTAGCACCCACCAGGTTCCTGGAGAACGAGGGGGTGTAGTAACCTGTGAGAAAGAGTGGTGGTGCTGTAGGCAACTACAGGTCCCACGGAGGGGTCAGCCAAGGCGAGAGTGACTGGAGTGCGCAGTGGTGTGAGGCCAGTACAGTCGTGGAAGAAACAGCTGGACGCTCCAGAGTCTAGG